GGGGGCTGGATGAGGGTTGCAGGCTCTTCAGAGTGCGGCTGGGGGTTGCTATGGGCCCAACATGTTCTATGGTCCCCACAGGTGGACCTGACCTTCGTGGGCTGCGTGGGGATGCTGGACCCACCCCGGAAAGAGGTGATGGGATCTATCCAGCTGTGCCGTGATGCTGGCATCCGTGTCATCATGATCACGGGGGACAACAAGGGCACAGCCATTGCCATCTGCCGCCGCATCGGGATCTTCAGTGAGGACGAGGAGGACATGTTCTATGGTCCCCACAGGTGGACCTGACCTTCGTGGGCTGCGTGGGGATGCTGGACCCACCCCGGAAAGAGGTGATGGGATCTATCCAGCTGTGCCGTGATGCTGGCATCCGTGTCATCATGATCACGGGGGACAACAAGGGCACAGCCATTGCCATCTGCCGCCGCATCGGGATCTTCAGTGAGGACGAGGAGGTGCTGGGCAAGGCCTACACGGGCCGCGAGTTCGACGACCTGCCCCCCGCCGAGCAGCGTGAGGCCTGCAAGCGGGCCTGCTGCTTCGCCCGTGTGGAGCCTACCCACAAGTCCAAGATCGTGGAGTTCCTGCAGTCCTTCGACGAGATCACAGCCATGGTGAGTGGGGGCGAGCGGGGGAAGGGAGAGGGGCCAGAGGCTGAGACTGTGCGCATGGGGGCACCTGGCAGGGGCCACTGTGGGCAGACAGGGCACTGGGCTAGATGGACCTTGAGTCGGACCCAGTGTGGCTGCTCTGATGTTTTTATGGCCTGTGGTGTTTGGGGATCCCGGGCTCTGTGACTCACCCTGCCCCTCCCCCAGACAGGCGATGGGGTGAATGATGCCCCGGCACTGAAGAAGGCTGAGATCGGCATCGCCATGGGCTCGGGAACAGCCGTAGCCAAGACGGCCTCCGAGATGGTCCTGGCTGACGACAACTTCTCCACTATTGTGGCGGCTGTGGAGGAGGGTAGGGCCATATACAACAACATGAAGCAATTCATCCGCTACCTCATTTCCTCCAATGTGGGCGAGGTCGTCTGGTGAGTGCACGGTTCTCGCACACTGCTCCCCTATCCCATCAGCTCCCCTGGCCGCACCAGTGTCACAAGGGAGCGCTGTGATCCGGTTGACCAAGCCGCATCACGCTACCCATTTGGTTCAGCATTCACAGAACAAAAGAGTCTTTCCCAGTATCTTAAACATCCCTTTAACAAGTTGTATTGCACTTGTGACGGTGAGTCGGGGTTCCCCCGATCCTGCACCCCCGTAGCAGCCAGAACAGTCTCCACCAGCCAGTAGTATAGAGGGAGTTTATTGATTGTCCGGAATACAGCCAGCATAGACGTGTTGTGGGGGGGCCAGGACACCCAGCGTATGTCTACACTACCACCCTAGTTCGAACTAGGGTGGTTAATGTAGGCTACCGGAGTTGCAAATGAAGCCCGGGATTTGAATTTCCCGGGCTTCATTTGCATATTGCCGGGCGCCGCCATTTTTAAATGTCCACTAGTTCAGACTCCGTGCCCGCGGCTACACGCGGCACAAACTAGGTAGTTCGGATTAGGCTTCCTATTCCGAACTACCTACCACCCTAGTTCGAACTAGGGTGGTTAATGTAGGCTACCGGAGTTGCAAATGAAGCCCGGGATTTGAATTTCCCGGGCTTCATTTGCATATTGCCGGGCGCCGCCATTTTTAAATGTCCACTAGTTCAGACTCCGTGCCCGCGGCTACACGCGGCACAAACTAGGTAGTTCGGATTAGGCTTCCTATTCCGAACTACCAGTACACCTC